ATAAAATTGTGGTCCCTAATTTTTTCCCGGTTAAATGACAACCCGACTGGGCTAACGTCAAAAATCCCTATATTGTCAATTTGAAAGAATTCGATTTAAAATTCATTGAATTATTTTAAATGTTCTTAAAAAAACAATTAAAAAACAATTAGCGTACAAAAATAAGTTTATAACTTTTTTCTAATACTCATCCCCAAGTAATTTCAAAAGGTTTTAGGAAAATCCATGCTTCCCATAATTATTTCGAAATAATGCGTAATTTTAAGCTATCTTGACTCCACTATAATTTTAGTAACAGCTGTCAATCAGGCACTAAAGTGTCACATTTACTGCCTAGGCACTAAAATCATTTTTACCGCCGCTAAATTAAAAATTAAAATTTGTTCTTTAAGAAAGTAATTTTATTTATTGTAAACATTTATAGTGAAATTAGAACAGCCCGTAAGGGATATCCCATGTGCTGTTTGTTTTGAAACATTTACTTCGTCTGTCTATGTAGGTTGAGGGAAATTTTTTTGCTAACAACTGATTTACGAATTATGGACTCCTCAATGTACCTAATCCACCATACATTTTTAAACTTTAAACATTGCTTTATTAAAAACTAGTCTTTATTAGCCCGGCAGGAAAGTGCCGAAACAGTACCGACGCACTATTTGAAGTCAGTAACTGATAATATTTTTTATCCAGGCAAAGTATTGTATAGTTATAAATACGTTAAAATCACTGACACAAAAACAAATTACGCCATTTTCTGTGAACCTTAAGTTACGTCCCTAAATACAATTTTTTTCCGAAGAATGAAAATGAAAAAAGAATGAAAAAAATATATTGAAAATATCAAATATATCACGACAGCATTATTTTCTTGTAATTACGTAACGATTTGCTTCAAATTTTATCCAGTAGCAGATAAACTCTGTTGATGTTGTGTAACACAAAGGTTTCGGGGTCCACCCCTAGAGGGAGGATGGTCTTGGGACTCAGAGACACCCTGTAGTCTTTTAAAACAGTCACCAGGGCTATTTTCGTCTGTAGCAGCCCAAAACGTAGGCCTGGAAGAAAATTAATATCAAATATCGCTCTAGAAAAGTCAAACTGCTTGAAGAATAGACGATATTCCTCACCTATACAGTTTCGGGGGCCTTCGCCGAAGGGCAGGTAGGTGAAGGGTCGCCTGTTGTCCTTGTTCTCGTTGCTGAACCGATCTGGGTCCCATTTCTCCGGGTCAGGCCAATATTCCGGGTCGTGGTGCAAGCCCAGAGCCGGTATTAGCACGGTGGTACCCTTCTCCACGGTGACGCCAGTGTCCTGGAGTTTGTGGCTTTTGGTGCACACTCTGGTGATGGTCGCCACGGGAGGCCAAAGGCGTAGAGATTCTGGAGTTTGGATAGCAAGAAGATGAAAGAAAATAGGAAATGTGGAAACTTGTGCATAATAATTTTTAGAAAAAAGTATGAAGCAAACGAGTACCAAAATTTTGAATTCCCTTCCCATGCTTTGATTTTTTCAATCCTCCATTGGGTGTAGTTCACTTTTTGTGTGCGAAACCACGAAAAATTTTATAATTAATTTACAATTAAAATGTACTTTAATATCACAAATATGACAACAATAATAATTCTAGAGAATGATGACAGTCATTAAATATACTAAATATCTATTGCAAAACATTTCTTTAAATAATTTAAATACTAGTCAATTAATGGCAAGCATGGGCGTAGCTAGAATGCTTTGCTTGGGCTGCAAACTCTATGGAGCCTCTAAAAAAAAAAGCTTTCACAATCAGCAACTTACAGGATGAAATTTCAAAAACCTGAACACGTTTTGATTTCATTCTAAAATAAGGTCACACAGTCAGCGATTTGCCGATATGCCGGTATGATAGACGATAATATTAGATCTTTTTTCTGGCGTGGGTCGTGCACACCTCTGCTCCGCCCTAGCTACGCCCATGATGGTAAGCTTTGATGTGGTTAGTCTATTAACTAATGTACCAATAGATAAAACTTTGAATAATATCAAAAATAAATTAGAAAATGAAAAACTACATATTTTCAATTAAATAATGAATTATATTAACAAGATGTCGGAATGGAAAATGGAGTCTTCGTTATCACCATTTCTAAGTGATGAATTATTTTGAAGAAATAAATAAAAAGATGTGTAAACGACATTTTTCCCGTTGAGAAATATTTTTCTAGAAAATATTAATAACAAGGAGCCAACAATTAAATTTACTTTGAAAACAGAAAACAATAATACATTAGATTTTCTACATATTTGTAATGTAATCGTTTATTGTTTCTCCTGCCCTTTAATTGGATTTGTATCTGTCTGGGCAGCTGTACTTTAAATAAATAAATAAAAATAAAATAAATATTTTAATAAAAAAATAGCAATTCTTTAGAAAAAAGTCTTTATAGGAAACCAACACACTACAACAAATATCTAAATTTTAATTCGATTCATTACATTGATATAAAAAATGTGTAATTAAATGTAGGTACTATAGAGCCAAATTGATTTCTTCAAAAGTGAAGTTTTTAATAACGAATTGAAATTCTAAAAAATGTAGTAATAAACTATAAATACCCCGGAATTGTGTCGAAAGAGTTTTTAAGAATGTTGAAAGAAATAGACAACAAAAGGAATTCACATCTACAAAAAAAAATTCAATTCATTTCTGAATTATCGGAAAAAATAAAGAAGAATAAGTAACAAATTTAACATTAGAACTGTCTTTCAGACAATTAATACTTTACCAGGGAAAAGGACAGTAAATTGCGTGAGATTTTATTTTTTATGAAGTGTTTCTTGTAACAATTGTTCTTTTTTTTTCTCTAGAACATGTTTTGTTGTTCTTGTCTATTACAATTTTCCATACTTCTTTTTTATAATAAGTATATTTGATCAGTAAGTGAGAAAGTAAAGTAATACAGAAAAATGTTTATATAAAAGTTGTACAGAATCAAAAAACCTAAAGGACAAAATTAATTTGAATCATACAGGGCGATGAGTAAAAACGGGACACGCCAAATATTACATTTTTTAATGGAACACCCTGTATATTTTTAACCATATGGATTTCTGAGAAAATTCTATATATGGCAATATAAACAGTTTAACATTTTAGTGCGGGGTTTCCAAGTTATGTTGGAAATTCTTCAAATTTTGGAAAAGCATGCCCTTGAAGAAGTTGTATTAACTTTCAACTACTAACACTTGGAACAAAAATTATTTTATATTTTATTTTATTATTATTTCTAACATTTGCCTATAACTCTGACTTATTAAACACAGAGTTATAGGCAAATGTTAGACAAAGGCTCCTATATTAGCTAGTATCGATATTTTATAAAGGGCATTTTTTATAATACGATCATTTTTAGAAAGTTCAAACTTGATTGTTTAAAATTTTTCAAATGTATTGTATTGTTCTATTTTAGTCACATATTATTAAGTATGTTCTACACCTAAAGTTGTTAGTTTTTAAGATGTAGCAACATTTCTTGAAAAACCTAATTTTTATTACTTTCGGTCGCACGAAATGGCTTTGGAAAAAACTGTCACATTGTGTCAACTTGTCAGTTCATAATTTATCATTCCGAGTCATTTTATTAGTTTAATATTTATTAGTTGGTATACTATAAAATAATAAAAATTAAGTTTATTCATAAATGTTGCTATATCCTAAAAACTAACAATATTAGATATAGAACATGCTTAATAAAAGTTGAAGCGGACCGATATGTGAATAAATTAGAACAATAAAATACAGGGTGTTTGTTCCATTTGTAAAATTTTATAAAATCAACTTTAAACTTTCTAAAAATGATTGTATTATAAAAAATGCTTATATATAAATTTTAAGATGCAAGCGCACCAAGCCGTGAAAGCGGTAAGCTCCGGGACAAGGTAATTTTGAATTTGGCATTCGTGTTTACACATTCATTTGAACAACATTCGTTTTATTTCCCATTATTATTAGTAATTTTGTTATTAAACTGCGGTTATTTGACTTTTGCGTTATTTTATAGGTTTCAAATATTTCATAAATAAATTTTGATACAAGTATTTATGTTTACCTTGTTTGTTTCTAGCATTACAATTTAATAATTTAATGTACATTTTTTGAGGTTATAACTATGAAGTTATCCGTTGTGGAATACCTAGCACATTTCCTATTTTAAATGCCAACTCTCGTTGTATATCAAAAGGAGAGGCAGTTTTTAACACTGGTCATGTGGTACTACATATGTGGGAAAATTTTGCAGTGATTTAAATTTAGAAAATTATTCATTGTGTCTGCAAACTAATGCCCTTACTAACAACCCTCTTGAAATTTAGGGAGTGTTGTCTGATGTTTGATGAAAACTTAATACTGGATTTTTCTTGGACCATGAACAACAACCATGAACTGAACAATAATAGTTCGACAATTTTTTCTTTTTATCCATAACTGCTGAAGTTTCCCTCACACTATTTTCTTAAAACAACAGTGTTCAAAAAACAGACACTAAACACAGTTTTAAATAAAATACAAAACGAAATATCTCGCACACAAGAAATGTTTAGCTGCATTAGCGGATAGGAGCCTTTATCTAACATTTGCCTATAAGTCTATCTAATTATTTAGTTCCAAGTATCTGAACTTCTTGGAGGTCATGTTTTTTTTTCAAAATTCGAAGAATTTTCTACATAACTTGGCAACGCCGCACGCACAAAAATGATAAACTATTTATATTGCCATACAGAATTTTCTAGGAAATCCATGTTTAAAAATATACAGGATGTTTCATTTAAAAAATGTAATATTTGGCGTGTCCCGTTTTTACTCATCGCCCTATACGTTTCACACTAATTTTGTCCTTTAGGTTTTTTGATTCTGTACAACTTTTATAAAAACTTTTTATCTGCATTATGAGTAACAAGGGAGTTATTTTACTTTCTCACACTAATGGCCCACCCTGTATAACATGCTTCAGGCGGCGAATATTCTGATCGGTTCTATATAGAACTCCCTGTATACGTACCATCAACAGCTTGTCCGAGATACTTCATCTCGGCGATGGCATCGTAGGTTATTTTATTATCGTGCTTCGCCAACACCTCCAGTATCTCTTCGCGAAGTTTTTTCTGCGCCACGTCGTTCCTGCTGATTTCGAAAAGGGCCAGGCTCGTCGTTGACGAGGAGGTCTCGAATCCCGCCGAGAAAAACAGGAAAACCTGCGCAATCAACTCGTTCATGCTCAGTCTCATCTCCGAATTCTTCAAATCGATCAGCAGCTGCAGCAGGTCGTTCCTTCTAAGGTTGTTTCGCTCCCTGTGACTGACGGTGTCCTTAATGCTGTGGAAGAAGAACCGTGATATGTCCTTCTGGATGTTCCTCACTCCCAATTTCTGGGCGAGGTTTGGCGCGTAGATGGACAGGAAGAGGTTAAGTCTGTCCGCCAGGCTGAATTCGTTGAATAGTTTGCGGCCCATCCTGCGGAATTCGGCGTCGGGGTCTTTGAAGCTGTTGCACTCGATGCCGAACGCACAGGACCCTGTTAACGCATGAAAGATAAGAAGTCGTAATCGCGTTTCTTTTAACAGCCACAACATTCGTGTCGACGTCCTCAAGACTAAAAGGTTTGATGATTGTACAACAATAAAAACTTTTATCCACGACTATTGTATAATATACCCATTATACGTCTGTTTGCTCGACCTTAATAATACCCATTAATCACGGCAGTGATTAATGAGTCATTAATCACTACTGTCAGATGCTTCCTTAATTTAGCTATAATATTATATTGTTCTGCTACAAACAATCCGTTTTTAAAATTTTATCGTGTAAACCACTAAATATTTTCAATTCAGTGCTGTACATATAAAAAAAAAATTAAAAAAGTGAATTTTCCTAGACCGGATTCGAACCCGGGACCCGCGGTTGGAAGGGAAAGAGCATCTACACTGAGCCATCAGCGACTTCATTTGTGCGAGTCGTATATCTGTTTCTTAACATACCATGTTTTTCGAAACATTTCAAAAAAAACTTCAACAAAAATATTTAGTAGTCGTGGATAAAGTATAGTATTCTACTCCCGTATAATGGGTATTATTCACTCGGTGATTTAGGCCACTCGCCTGCGGCTCGTGGCCGTAAACTTCACCTCGTGAATAATACCCATCATTATACGCTCGTTGAATAATATACTATTATT